CCAGAACCCTTTCCACAAAACTCGGTGATGGCACAATAGTACATGGTGTCCTTGACCTGAGCTTCCCGAGACTTCTAGCAGTTTAGTTAACATCATCATGTGACCCTGCCTTTTTCTAGTACATGAAAATACACCGTTGACAACATTTTTTTTAAGGTATTCTGATAAACTTGTATTTGAGAAACGTAATAGCGGTTTGCAAAACACGTTGCTGGAAGATTCTGAAAGCGAGCTAATAGTACCTATATAAGCGAGTGTCTGGACCTCTCAGAGAGGAGGGAGGGCAGGCCAAGCTAGGTTAGGCTTCGTGTGCTAGAGACTTAACTCGGGATTTGGGGATACTCTAAAAGAGTAATCTTAATGAACCCTTAGATACATAGAGGCTAAACCATTGTTACTACTTACTTCAAATAGATGTACTGAAGTAACTGTTTTGGATGCAAATCTTTCGTTTTATTAATTGTCAAAAGAAAGGAAAGTTAACATTTTAAATAAAAGAAATACAATTTATAGACTTGATTTTGAGATACTGAGATGTTTTTGACTGTGTGTCTGAGACGCCAGGGTAGTGGTTATCTGGTAGAGCTTATTCTAGAAGACTGCTTAGGCCATATTTTCTGTATCATGGGCATGGAGATAGAAGGAATTTAATTAGTGGCTGAACAGGAAGAGGGAGGTTATGCCTACTAGTTGACTGCACTCTCACAACAGTGGAATGAATGAACCAAGAAGTAAAGCAGACTCTGTTTCACTGCTAGTGTGTTGGGCAATCTATACGGCAAATCTCGTCATTTGTGATGTAGTCTCTGAATGATATGCCAAATATTTTTCTTACAGATGGCAATTCCAACGCTTTTATCTTCTTTTCAAGATCAACTGTCCAGGTAAACGTTTCACAGCCATAATAAATGTACTAATAACTAGTGGCCTTAGGAGCTGAAGTTTAGTTTTAAATGAAATGTTTCTGGATCTTCTTAATATTTGCTGTTTGTCAAGGACCGATGTTGTCCGGGCAATTCTGGACAAGATTTCTGGATTGGATCCCAGGTCACCTAAAATTGATCCTAAATGTTTGAAATATTGACTTGTTCTAATTTGTGACCTTTGACGTGCACTGCTGTAGTTATGCCAGCCAGATTATTAGTAATAACTTTAGCCATTTCGACGTTTATTTCCATGCCATACTTGGTCGATGTTTCATCAAGCATATTTACAAGTTCGACTAGCTCTTGTTTCGAGGTTGATAACTGTAAAACTGCTGACGTAAATGAAATCATTCTCTGCCCAATCCAGCCATGATTTTCTTCTTTTTAGCCTGTTGTCTTTTTCCTAATGAGAACGTCGTGAAGAGGATGCTTCAAATCCGTGCTTATCTTTAGGTATTTCGTTGTGTGTGTGTGTGTGTGTGTGTGTGTGTGCTCTATGCAACATACTCTGCAGACACTAGCTTTATGCAGGAAAGCACGGAGCTATATGGGACTAAACACCGGGGCAAAGCCCACTATTATTGTGAACATTTGCTTTGATATATATCCGTCTAGATAAATGCAAGGTATGTCATCTCTAGGCCTTTCTGGGTCTAAAAACTACCCTGTAGTCTCAAGTCCTAAACACGCACCACACAAATATTATTGTATGGATAAATTTGGCGTTACCACTTACCAAGTTTCATCTTTAGTCCATCGACGGACTTCATGAAAGCCTCCAAATATAGGTCAAAGTTCAAATCGCAGTTCTCTTCAACACAGTCGTGGAATTCACTAGACATCCTGAAACCTAGAGAGAAACAAAAGGTCTTTTATGAAACACACGAGGTAAATAATTTTGAGGCCAATTATGGAATCACTGGAGGAGGAGGAGGAGGAGGAAGAAGAAGAAGAAGAAGAAGAAGAAGAAGAAGAAGAAGAAGAAGAAGAAGAAGAAGAAGAAGAAGAAGAAGAAGAAGAAGAAGAAGAAGAAGAAGAAGAAGAAGAAGAAAAATAATAATAATAATAATAATAATAATAATAATAATAATAATAATAATAATAAGAAGAAGAAGAAGAAGAAGAAGAAGAAGAAGAAGAAGAAGAATAAGAAGAAGAAGAAGAAGAAGAAGAAGAAGAAAAAGAAGAAGAAGAAGAAAAAGAAGAAGAAGAAGAAGATGAAGAAGAAGAAGAAGAAGACGCAGAAGAAGAAGAAGAAGCAGAAGCAGAAGAAGCAGAAGACGCAGAAGATGCAGAAGAAGAAGCCTAACCGGTTGCTAGAATTGAGTCAATGAACGTTAGAACAAGTACATAAAGAAGAAATAAGGAAAATCTCTAGACAGCCACTTGAATCAACAATTACAAGAAGAAAAAAGATGACAATAATTTCGGGCAGACCATGAGAAGAAGCGGACAGAGGTTCACTAAACAGGCACTGGAATGAGAACCAAATACACTGGGGAAACAAGATCCTCAATGAGAAACACTTATACGAACATTGTTAACAGAGTCCATAAGTGCTGCGCTAGAGTGGATGAACAGAGTTTGAATAGCATTTATCATCATCATCACCAGGTGCCTTGCCGACTGGCGTGGGCGATCATGCCTCTCCATAATCCACGATCTCCTGCAGCATGTATCAGTTCGTGTGCCGACACACCTCCATGCCATGCAACAAGACTGTCAAGCATCTTCTCTCGTTGTCTTTCTCTATCCCTCCTTCCACAGATCTTTCCAGTGGTCACAACATGTTCCATTTTCCCTCTTCTCATAACATGGCCGAAAAATGATGACTGTCTCCTTCTGATGTCTGTGATAAGTTGTCTTCGGGCTCCTGCCTCTTTCAAAACCTCTTGGTTGCTCTTCGTGGATGTCCAAGGTATTCTAAACATTCTTCTGTAAAACCACATCTCTGAGGCCTCAAGCAATTGCTTGGCCTGCCTACCGATTGTCCAATAATATGCAATTGCATCAATATACCACATTTTTCACAGGTACAAAGAATGCAATATCAAAATTACCATTATCATTTATTACAACAAGCATGGCACATCACTGTGTTGCGGTTATATTGTCGACCCCGTAAACACAGAGGATCGTAAATGTCAAAATATGGGTACTTTTCAAGAAACAAACATATAATAAACATATTGCATGAAATTATTAGAAAACACAGTGGCTCGCACATTACCAGTAAGTACCAACTCTTATTCAAAAATGTCAGAAAGGAGTATACACAATAGGTCTCAAGGCGAGGAGATATTACCCTTCTGTAGAAAAAAGGACCTGTTTCCAAGACTTACTGGATAAGTAAAGGTCTTTTTTCCACACCTTTAGGCGTTTAGGGCATATAGGGTTGGACCTATATTTTTATAGACCAATCGTCACAAGATGGGTGATGTGGTCAGCATCACGCCAGCCGCCTTTACTTCCCGGAACTGCACCCGGGACCCACTCAAGGCTGGGTCGACCTGGAAGTCAAGGTCATTTTTTTAGAGTCCGGATTTGCCAGGAAGCGAACCCACGACCTTCTGATCCGCACGCGAGCGTCTAGCCGCTACGCCACGGTGACACACTCGACTTACTGGGTGATTTAGTCAATATCATAGCGATCACTTTCCTAATATTTCTTAGGACACATTTATTTTATTGTGGGTTAGCCTGGGAAACTTGGCAAGTTACAAAACAAAATAGATGTGCTATTGCGGCTTTCAGAGCAGAATGCTGGAGAATGATCAAAAAGGATGTACACAAGCTGTCCACCTTCCACCACACTTGTCTACGTAGAATGGTAAAAATTTTCTGGCCAGACACAATCTCAAACACTAAACTATTTCAAGTCACAATCCAAGAAACTCTAGACAGTATGATAACCAAGAGAAGATGAAAATGGCTTGGCCACGTTATGAGAATGAAACCTGATATACCTGCCAAAACAGCTCTCACATGGATACCAGAAGGAAAGAGAAAAAAAGGGGCGCCCCCCCCCCCCCCCCCCCCAAAAAAAAAACGGAGACGAACGATGGAAAGTGACCTGAGTGCGGCATCTTTGACACAGAAAACTGCACTGAAGATTGCACAGGACAGGAAAGCATGGAAAGTCCTCTCTGAAGCCTCATGTGCCACTAGGCATAACGAGAACTGATGATGATGATTGCGGCTTTCATACAGTTCTTTTCGTAACATAAATCTTGATTTCTTTGTTTAAATTATGTAACTCACCTACTGTTTCTGAAAGGGACAATTTCAGCACCTGCAATATTTTATGGTACCGGTTGGAGCTAACCAGGTCAGTTAATATATATATATATATAAACTACAGGATCAAGATCTGGAGGCTCGTGCACACCTCAAGATAAGCTCAGATCTGGGGCACCCTTTGCACCACATGCTCTTCAGGGAAAACGGCAATAGCTTTAAAATGGGCAAATCGTGGCTGGGTAGAGCAGAGGATGACATCATGCAGGTTTGCAGCCTTACATATATCCATCCAGGTGAGGAATGATACCAGCATCTAAAGCTGTGAGAACAGTTCAAGAAGCCAGTGGTCCCTTCTCCATGACTACCAGCAGCATGACGATGGAGGTGATGGCGGTGACACAGGCTTTCATGTGGCTGGGATCACAGGACTATTCCCGCGTGTGTGTGCTGAGTGATTCTTTGAGCATGATCCGGCGGGTCAAGGCAGGCTGGTTACGCAGACAGTGACTTGAGTCATTGCAAAACTCTGCTGTGTGTGCAATTACCTTCATATTTGTCGCAGGGTATGCAGGTGTTGTTGGTAATCAAAGAACTGATAGACGGGCACAGCCAAGCATGAGAAGCAACAGGACGCACACAAAGTCTTTTCAACCGTCATAGGACAACCGCGCGACGCTGATGAACATGTTGAGAGGGGGATTTTAGCACCGATGGATGTGTCCGGAGTGCTGTGAAGATAATTCAGCTCATAACACATATCAACCATCCGACTGCTCAAACACAATTTCACACATAAAATGTAGCTATTTGCCGTTGTTTCATTTTGTAACTTACCAAGTGGTCCTGTTTTACTGAATACAAGTTTGACCTGATCAAAGGTTTTTATCATCCCCTTTGGGAAGGATATATATGCCATTGTACGAGTCCTGAATGCAGCCTTCTCATCTTCCTTCAGGTGATACAACAATATCCCCGTGTCAGTGGTCGATGCGTGGATGACCTCAGCTGTGGCCAGACTATTTAGAAGTTCTCGCGCGTATCTGGAATAAACAGTGGAGACACAGAAACGATTAGAATTCATAGTCGCTGACATGGTAAAATTTGAATCAAAAATTATTATTAAGAGAGATCAGAAAAAATGGCCGTATTGATCGACATTCAGCCCAGACAGGGACTGACTACCTATGAACGAACGAGAGACCAAAATACCTCTGACGAAACAGAAATCGACAGCCTCGAGGATGTAAAAGAAACGCAGCTCGAAAAGAAAGAAACGCAACAGCAATTCTCAGATAAAATATCGAAACTCAATGTAGCTTAACCAAAAACTGCAGCACGAATTAACGCAGACAAGAAACATGTTCGAAGAGATAGATAGATAGACAGACAGACAGACAGACAGACAGACAGACAGACAGACAGACAGACAGACAGACAGACAGACAGACAGACAGACAGACAGACAGACAGACAGACAGACAGACAGACAGACAGACAGACAGACAGACAGACAGACAGACAGACAGACAGACAGACAGACAGACAGACAGACAGACAGACAGACAGACAGATAGATAGATAGATAGATAGATAGACAGATAGATAGATAGATAGATAGATAGATAGATAGATAGATAGATAGATAGATAGATAGATAGATAGATAGATAGATAGATAGATAGATAGATAGATAGATAGATAGATAGATAGATAGATAGATAGATAGATAGATAGATAGATAGATAGATAGATAGATAGATAGATAGATAGATAGATAGATAGATAGATAGATAGATAGATAGATAGATAGATAGATAGATAGATAGATAGATAGATAGATAGATAGATAGATAGATAGATAGATAGATAGATAGATAGATAGATAGATAGATAGATAGATAGATAGATAGATAGATAGATAGATAGATAGATAGATAGATAGATCTGTCTGCCTTGTTCAATTTTAATCATGTCCCTGATAAGCAACAGTTAGTATTCCCCTTCCATCACCATTAGACCCCCGGGTGTATCTTAACAGCACACTAAAATGTATTATGGTTAACATATTTGGATATGGAGATGTATTTGTTGCAGTTGTAGATGTACCTCACTGGTTGATGATATTCAACCACTAATCGAAAAATAGTTTTAATCATTCTGAATCTGACGATCCCAAAAGGTTTATAATTGTTACTGGCTGAACAAATTGTAATCCATCTCGGTGTCAGTAGTGTCTTCCCCAAAAAGCACAAGTTCAACACATTTTCTCCAGAAATAAACGTCTATTTTTTAGAACTTCTTTCAGAACTTCAACATTACACATTTTAAATGTACTGTTATTTTCAGCAACTTGTTTTTTTTTTTACTTTAGCACAAACAAATTCTATTGGGATGAGGTGTGAATGCTAGCCAGGGAGTCGCAGAGAAGTGTGGCAGTATTCATTTATGATTTTGTCAATATGATACACTTCTGTTCTATTTTTTTATCACTAGCTGCAACAACTCTTGCTTCAAATATGTAAAAGTAGACTTTTTCCTTAGCAAGCCATGTTCTAATTAGATCTTTCGTTTGAAGTCGTTGGTACTGTGTCTTCCTCTGATACGACATTATGATAGGCGGCATGATACATCTGTACTTTTTGATTGGAAAATAAGTATGTGTTTGTTTGTGTGTTTGTGTGTGTGTTTGTGTGTGTGTTTGTTTGTGTTTGTATGTGTGTGTTTGTGTGTGTGTTCGTGTGTGTTTGTGTGTGTTTGTATGTGTGTGTTTGTATGTGTGTGTTTGTGTGTGTGTTTGTGTGTGGCTCTATGGGTCTAAACCCCCAAGGTTCCATTTTTTGTGGTTATATCCTTTTATGTTTGTGTCCAACAGAGGCGACTTTCCTGGTAACTTCACCCACAACCTTACAGACACCTGACATCTTTAATAGTTACCTGAGTTTAAAAAAGTTTTTTTTTCTTTTAAATTTCCTTTCTCCAGATTTGCATTTTGTAAGATTATCATCTCAAAAATGAGAATAAAACAGCTACAAATCCCGAAAACCTCTTCAACCGATTAGTTAGCTATACAGCACTGTTTTGTTTGTTTGTCTCAGTATCCAGAAGCCATGAGTTGTTAACCCTTAGGCTTGGTATTATGGATATCGCAACTTTTCGGCCTTGATTCCATTGTAAATAAATCTGGGAGAAATGTGCCTTTTCTGCCTACCCCCGGGCGTGAACCCGGACCACAAGGAGTTCGTCACCCGGTCACCACGCAATCCGATTTAGCCAACTACGCTAGAGAGCCGGGCAATACAGCACGGTTAAGATGAGGCACCACAAAACGATAGGCTATGATTAGTGATTTAAAAGAAGACTACATAAAACATCACTTGTACCTTTCCTTCAAATCTCTCTCGGCAGCAATCTCGTGTGATGTCAGCGGTTTCTGGGCATTGAGCAGAACTTGCAAGATTCCCAAATCTTTGGATAAAGTCAGTGCGAGACCAACATGCGTGGTGTTGACAATATCGCGAAGTTTATCCGCGTATGACGACATATTCACTATGAAGTGTGTGCTGATTCTATGAACAATAATATTTTAAAAATAAAGTCTTAAGTTAAAATAGTTATGTCAGTGTGTCAGTTAATTTGTTGAGCACTGTCAGGTATAAGTCGCTGTGGTTCTCATCTTTTTCAGTGACGGCGCGATGGACTACTAGCGAAGATACCGCAAAAAACAACTCCTACAACAGTGAATGACGCCACAGCAACAGCCCTGCATGTTGTACCACCACTAGACATACCCCCACCCATACCAGATCCAGGCCGACCCAGGCAAATTCTTATAGTCCTTTTCAGGACTATCAGATAACCCCTCCCGATACAGCGGTGGAGGAAGTCGCCGGAAGCGCGCAATTTAAGACGACAGAAATGCCCAATTGACATGTGACTGAGGCCCTGTTAGGGTATATTTTCCGCGTCTATAATTTAGGACCGTTATTCAGAGGATAGCCGGCGGAGAGTGTAAAATTGTTTGAAGGGACAGAGTGGTATGACAGTACTTTCCGGAAGTTCAAGGGGATGTCCCGTGAACATTGGCCGGAGTAGTGAGGCCGAGAGAATGTTGACCAGTGAGAAGTGTAGTATTTGACTAGACCAGCAGGAAAACTAACCAAGCAACTGGTAAACCAATGAATAACAAAATTACCAGCAAACCATCAACCAGGTAGTACCGGTTTTTTTTTTTTCTTCAAGTTCCCTTTTTACGCCTTTCGGCGCATCGGGCATATGGGCAGAGCGTCCCATATTTTTACAGACCATCAGCACTCTGTGGGTAATGTGGTCAGCATTATGCCGGCTGTCTTTACTTTCCCAGGACAGCCCATCCTGGTACCCATTTTAGGCTGGGTCGACCTGCGACGTCCCATACCACGATAAAAATCCACGCAGCCTGCAGTGGGTTTCGATCGCGGTATGCTGGCTTACGAGTCGGATTCGCAACGCCTTAGCCACGGACGCCGCATAGGTAGTACCGTTACCTGTGGGGAAAACAGAAATATGACTCTCTGTCCACTTCAACATTTGACACATGCACATATTTCATAGTTAGGTACCTTTCCTTTTTCTGACCTAGGCATCCAGTGTCCAATATCATTTGCGACAATGGTCATCAGTGCCATTTAGCACCATCAGCTGGGTTTAATCACCATTTATGATTAAGGTTATTAATGCCGCTGTAGCATCACCTACCTTAGTGTACTGGTCCAACCCCCAGGCTGGGAAATCATGAGCAACAACCGTGCTATTACTCCTAAAACAAATCAAGTAAAGATGGTGCTGACCACCTCACTCACCAAGTGCTGGTTGTTCTATAATGTACTAGCTGTACCCGGCCACGCGTTGCTGTGGCCCAGATAGGTCTAGCCCTATTTTCGCAAAAGTGTATCAAACAAAAATAGTTATGAATCACCCGATTATCATTATTACTAATCATAGATATTGATGAATGCACTCGTGCTTCTAACTCCACTGTCATTCTATACGAAATTTTACAATGCATTATTTATATTATAATCCCTCACTTAATTCCTGTTCATACCATGAGGGTAAAGACCCGAGTGGGGCAAAAACACGCAGTTCCGTTTTTGTGTGTGTGTGTGTGTGTGTGTGTGGCAGGCTTTAGCTTGGTCGACACTGGCTAGACGGTATCAGGTGGGTTGCCACAATTCAATCATCTCCTGCTGTCACCAGCCAAGAAAATTAAGTCATTTGCTTTTTTCAGCTCTTAATGTAATACTGTGACCCTTGACAAAAAAGTTTGCAATAGAGCTGTTACTTATCCTATTCATCAAAAAAGCAACACATATTAAAAGTTGAAATAGAGGTGACCTGTCGAGGTTAGTTAGTTTATTTTGGGTAAAAGTTACAAATGTTAAATTATGATAAAATGGGGCAAAAACTCGCAGCCTAATGGTGCAAAGACCCGCGTGCGTGTCTTTACCCCACGAATGCGTGTCTTTACCCCACAAAAGCGTGTCTTTACCCCATGAATGCGTGTCTTTACCGCATGAATGCGTGTCTTTACCTCATGAACGCGTGTCTTTAAACCCATGAACGCGTGTCTTTACCACATGAATGCGTGTCTTTACCCCATGAATGCGCGTCATTGCCTACGAATGTGAGTTTTCCCCTTATCAACCTCAGTTGTTTACAATATGATTCTGTTTTTTCCCCAGGATTTACAAAAGAAAGACGAGCCAGAAACCACTCACTAAATCTTTACTGAACGAAGCCAAAACTCTAATAGAGACGGGTGTTTCTATTAGAGAAGCGGCTAAAGTGATAGGTCTCCATAAATCAATGCTACGGAACAGATTAAAGACTGGCGTTGGAGCAAGGTAAGGTAAAGGTACAGTTGGGAGATGTGAACCAGCTTCATTGCACACGGTTTATAAACCATAAGTGCTCTGCCACCAGTACGGACAGCTGATACGAATTGTTCGCCTGTGTCGCCGTTCGCACGTAACTCTGTAGCTACAGCGACGTTCCTCCATTTACCCCAGAGTATCATTCTGGTACCCATTTCCTAGAGGCTGGGTGAACCCCAGGAGCCGCCCGGTTTTGAACACCGACCGTTGGCTGCAGCGAGTCGCAGCTGGATTTGAAAACAAGCCTCTTATCGACTGCGCTAACGCGGAGCAGAAAAGCTGTCTTTTCAGACTGTCTTTTCCAATGAACATGAAAAACAATTAGTAGAACATTGTAAAGCCTTAGACCAGAGATTTTTTGGATTAACGTTCAAGTCTCTCCGCTTTCTGTTGTATTCCAATGCAGAGAAAAAAAAAACATACCTCATCCCTTTTCCACTGCAACAAAGCTGGCTGGAAAGGATTTTACACATTCCTTCATGAAAAGAAACAGACTGTCATTGCGGACAGCCGACTGCAACTGGACCAAGACTTTGACAACCTTACGAGTGTTCTGCGCCAGTACAAGTTTACACCGGACTGTATCTACAATTTGGATGAGACAGGGATTCAGACTGTTCCAGGCAAGATACCCAAGCATGGAGCACCAACCGGGAAAAAAGAGGTTGCTAAATCTGTCGCTGCTGAGCAAGGTAAAACAGTGACTATAGTCTGTGCCATGAGTGCTACAAGACACTATGTGCCTCCTTACTTCATTTTTGCCAGAAAGAGACTAAACTTGCTTCTCATAAAGGGTGGACCAACTGGATGTGACATAAGTGTCACTGACAAAGGCTACATGAACTACATTCTTAAAGTGGCTACAACACTTTTAAGAAGTTGGCGAATCCCTCTCAAGATAGGCCACTTCTGTTGATCCTCGACAATCATACCTGCATATCAGCTTGGAGGCCATTAATACGCCAAATAAAACCACATCCATAAGCTAAGCTTACCACCACACAGAAGTCATAAAACGCAACTCCTTAAACGTAATTTTTTCAGACCATTGAATGCGTTTTATGACAGTGCTGCTGGTAACTGGACAAGTTCGCATCCAGGCCAAGTCCTTAGTGAAAATCACCTTGCCTAACTGTTCGCAAAGGCTGTCCAGAAATCTGCAACGGTAGAGAATGCAGTTGAAGGTATGCTTGAGCTGAGCTGACCGTGCCGTATCAGTCGCGAATGGACGAAAGCCATATGTATAAGCTCGATAAGTGCTGTGACTTAGCGGCTGGTCTGAGAAGAGACGAAGCGTACACAGTAAGAATCTTCGCCGTCGAGGTAGGCGCAAGAAGTCTCGTTTCCACTTCAATGTACAATGTGATTAAACAACTAGGCTTAAAAGGGAATGAACGCAAACTAGCACTAAAACAGCTGGGCGAGGTTGCTGAGAGGGCATCGAGCTGGCTTTGGACACAACGGAACGTCGTGGGGGATGTCCTTCGGTGAGCTGGACCGGGTGTCTAGTGGAAAAGAATGTCTTAGCTTTTCAAGTCCATCGTGTCCGAATTGTCTGCCAGTGTTCCTCTGCCACCTGCCAACAAAGTCCAACATGTGTCCGGTAAACCAAAAAAAAAAAGCTTGTCACTTGGTCGTCCAGGTAAGCTGACTGCTCTAATTATGCTACCGCAACGACTTCGTATCTCACAGTACCTTTTGCAAAGTCACCAATTCGTCTTGTCCCTGTCCGATAACATCCGGTAATACGTGCAGCAGGAGAAAATCAACCCTGAGCCTCATGAACTCAGGTGGGCCCACTCTCTGAAAATGTCTAGGAGCTCGTGGGCCGAAACATTTGTCGACGAGAGATTCTACTGATGATTGGTAGCCGTACATGCTTCCCTGTGGAGTTTCTTCGTACAGCTGTTCCAGTTTCTTTTAATACACCATTAGAGAGCTGATAAGTGGAACAGCATTTTCCTACTCTCATCAGGCCGAATTTTATTGACAAGATTTGATTTAATTCACAGCACTGGAATCTCTTTCTGCTTCGGCATTTGAGTGAGGTAGTATGAGAACTTTAAGTGGTGTGGAACCATAATTCAAGGCTGTATATAATGTATTGTATTGCTGTTGTCTGACAAATGATTTGGAAAACCAGGTATATCTTTCAGCAATAAGGTATTTCAAATTCTATGGTAAACATTTAAAGGAAGCATGTGATAATGCTAGCTGAAATGAATGACACACACATTGTATAATTAAAAAGTGCCATTGGCAGCCCTGGTGCCGGGTGCAGTCCCGGAAAGTAAAGGCGGCCGGCGTAATGCTGACCACATCACCCACCAAGTGCCGATTTGTCTATCAAGTAAAAGTCAGCACCTGAGTGCCCAATAAGTCTGAAGGCGGGGGAAAGGGTGCTCTACTTTGTCTACCATTACAATGGCTGGGCAAGGCGCACTCAATCGCAATTCTGGTTAGGTCTCTTCTAGCTCAAGTCACAGTCCTAGTTAGGTCTGGTCTAGATATATAACAGTCCTAGTTAGGTCTGGTCTAGATCAAGGTACAGTCCTAGTTATGTCTGGTCTAGATATATAACAGTCCTAGTTAGGTTTGGTCTAGATCAAGGTACAGTCCTAGTTAGGTC